TTCATGGAAGAATGTCTCATATACCCTGAAGCAACCGGTATAATCACTTCGGATAACCTTTATCCACACCACAGCATTCAGAATCGCATGCGCACCTTTCCACGTTCATGTCGAGCACCAGCCGAGTCCTCTGAATTCCCCGTTTCTGCAATACTGCCAGCATACAGTTAGACTTCAATCACGACCGAAATGATTTCTGACGAACATTACGATCTTTGTCGGCCGGTTCTCGACGATCCCACGATAGAGGAGGAGGATAAGACTGAGCGTCTAGAAGAGTTATTGAGTAAAGTACCCGGTCTGAAGGGAGCAGCCTTGGAAAATGCCGTCCTTGATGCCCTATGGAAACATCGAAATGCTCAACGCGGAGAGACTGCCGAGACCCCTCTACGACATAATGTCATTCGCAAGTCATCTCCTGCTCCCTGGCAGGCGAACCGCGCTCCTACACCCCTAGGGTCACCGCCTCCGCTCTCGTCTAGCCCCGCGCTTTCTGCAGGATTTCCAGCCTCGCGTCCCAGCTTCTCCCGGCAGAAATCTAACATCCCCTCCCCTTTTGTATCTCCTCGACCTTCACCACGCCTTGCTCTGGTACAACCTATACCTCACAGTCCGAGCTTGAATGCCTATGAGTTTTCTGACGCGGGTCCTGCGCCTGATACATACGGGGACTACGGACACGAAAATGTTGATTGGCTCCTGGCTGATGAGTCTACCAGTAATGCTTCTTCTACAGCCACTGGAGGGTTGAGCGCTGCTGCACCAGAATGGGTGCCTCAACCAGATATGAGTCCCTATGATATCTTGCGTTCGGTCCTGGGCGACCGCAAGACAGACGACGAGATCGAAGAAGCACTAAACAAGAACTCGTACGATTTAGGGGCTACCATTGCCTCCTTACTTGGAACAGACACCGCCGACACGCAGTATACGGGAGTTCCATCGTCCGAGAATAATGTTCTGGTCGGCAAATCCATGGCGGTCAACCATGCCCGACCTTCCACTCCTGGCCAGCAGAAGAACCCTATAGTCTGCAAATACTGGCTGACATCAGGCTCCTGCCTTCGCGCTGATTGCCGTTTTGCCCACGACACTAGCGGCTACCTGTGCAAGTGAGGCCGGTCCCTGTCCCTTTTCTTCTGACTGTCGCACTGATGAAAGCTATAGATACTGGATGAACGGGAACTGTCTCGCTGGCGATGCTTGCCAATTCTCACACGATCCTGCTCTCCTCATCAATCATCTCACTGTGGGCGAAGGCCCAGTCACTCCGCAGTCTTTTCAGCTGCAAGACCACTACGAACAGTTTCCCTCGCTCGCCAACCAGAACATCAGGAGCACTCTTCAAGCTGGTCTGGCTGCTGGCAACACCTTCATTCCCGCTAACCAAAAGAATCGTAGTGCTTTGGGTACCCTTGGGTCGGGGTCTCGATCTCATTCTCGACCCAATTCACGCCATCAAAATCGACCGGAGACGCCCTCATCCCTCTCTATGGACGACCCCGAAGCGTTTCCGAGTCTAGGCTCTGCAAAACGGGGATCCAAGCACCATGGCCACCGATCAAGACATGGTCATGGAAGCGCAGAGAAGGAAACGCCCTCTTCACTTGCTGATGTTGTCCGCATGTCGCCGTCCCCGGCCGCGGGTCAGCAGCGTAAAGGAGAGACCGGGCGCAAGATCAGAACATATGGAGGCTCTGAGAGTGCGGCGGCACGGAAGATTCCCGAACCTCAGCATATCCCGTGGCTCGAGACAGGTTCTCGTGCCAACCAGCAGTATCTGAAATATAGACAAGAGGCTATCAAGCACGGAAGCATACGGAATAAATTCTTACAAAGGTAAGTCCCCCTACGGCATTAGCTCAGCATTCCTACACGATGCTAAAGACGTTCACAGCGCAGCACAGGCATGGAACCGGAACGACGCCCGCGCCGCAAAGGCCCTCTCTCTCCGGGGTCAGGCCGAGAATGATGCGATGCGCAAAGCACACCGCGAAGCTGCGAAGGCTCTTTATGAAGAGAGAAACAAACATCTATCTACTTCTCCCGTCGATGATGACGAAGAACTTTACATTGACCTACACGGCCTTCATCCCGAAGAAGCCATTGAGTATCTAGAGAATATCCTCCTCACCCATTCTAAACGAGGCAGAAGAATCATCTACGCGATCACGGGCACAGGCCATCACTCCAAGAATGGTAAGGATAAGGTGGGGAAGGGCGTGAGGAACTGGTTGAATGAATGGGGCTACACGTTCCGCGAGTTTAGTGTACCAGGGGAAAGGGGGGGATACATCGGTGGGGTTTTGGGCATTGATATCACAAGTCACAGGCGCCAGCCCATCTCCACCGATGAGAAGGGGGACGTGCCCGAAGAAGGGACCTCACCGACACCCACAATAGCGACGGCCGTGGGAAGTGGAAAGATCCAGGTTCTCAAGCGCGAGGAAGTGCCTGCGTGAAGCTTGTAGCTGGAGCTCCAGTTGGATATACAGCACGACATGTGATGCCCAACCTGGGAGCGGTGAAATGATTGGATTTGCGTGAAAAGATGGTAGTTTTGTGGATGGTACCTTCACAGCTACATAGCCTCTCGGGGGTGCATACTGGCTATTTTCCGAGACTCCGTTGGTAGAGCGCACCAGGGCCCATCTTGTGGCTGCAGATCAACCTGTGAGGTCACGCAACAAATCGATATGTGTACCTTTGCGAGCCATTTCACGCCTTGACTTATCCACAGCTGAAACCCCGTCGATGCTCAAAAGGCAGATAGGCAGGTCCTGCAAAGATCGCTCATCGTCCCTCTCCCAGGCGTATGTATGTATTGTATGTTTTATATTCTTTTTTTTCCCTTGTTCGGCTTACCGCCACTGCACACCAAACATCTTTGCGGCCTTGCCCTTGAAGCCCCTCTCGGCGTCTTTGTTTTCGAGGTAGACGGTCTCGTGGCCCTTTACGGCCAAGCTCAACAGCTCGTACTCGAGCCTGTCGGCGTCCTTGGGCCTGGTCATGTGCACGGTGACGACGCCCAAGACGCCGCTCTCGACGCCCTCGACGTTGAAGTGCATGCGAAAATGGGTGGTGCCGAACCGGTCGACCTCGGTCGAGTGTGCGAGCGGGCGGGCGCGCGCCCATTTGTTCGCGGTCGGTTCGCCGTAGGCCTTTATCTGGGACGCCGGACCGAGCAGGGCGCGACACTCGGGCGAGGCCTTGATGCGCGAGACCGCCGCGTTGAATTGGATCGTGTACGACGACGGAGAGAACAGGTCCGTGTAGAGAAAGTAGGCGATGGTGATCTAGTATTTTTCCAGAAGGAAGCCTTCGCGTCAGCATGAGTTCCCTTTTTTTTTCTTTACCGCGGAAGGGTGAGCTGGGAGAAGAGAGGGGATCATGGAGGGAGGAGAGGCGACGAAGAAGACGAAGAAGGAAGAGGCGATGGATGATGATGATGACGACGCACAGTGCCGACAAGACCCAGCGAGACGAGCAAAAAGTTGAATGTCTGCTGCGTCCCCCGCGCGGCTTTCTCGCCCGTGCTCAGCTCGTTCCAATTATATCGGCCATCGTCCGTGGTAACGGTAACGGCTCGTCGACCGGAGCTCGTGCTCGCGTGACGCGGGTGTGAGAGCGACTGCGTTTGCCGTCGTGGTCGCGGTCGCGGCGCTGACGTTGCCGGGAGTGTACGAGGATGATCGACGACGACGCGGGATGCGGACGAGGAGCAAAGAGGGCGTCGGCTCAGACATATTGAGCGTTCAGACACGAGATACAGGCGCGGTAGTGGTGAAGATTCCAAGCTGCCGACCAGGGAACCTGGAGCGAGAGCTGCAAAGCTGCCACCATGCGTCCTGCGAACATGGAGCCGGCACGCTCGCTGAAAAGCGCGGGCTTTGCTGGCCATTGCTTATGCGACACAACCCCCCCAGCCGAGTGTGCAGTATTTTCTGTAGTGTCCGCCCGCTCTTCTTGAAATCCTAGGCTCCGCCGTACGGATACCTTTGTCCAATTTAGTAACCACTGCTTGTTGATTTCGTGAGAGAGAGGAGGTCGCGCGTGCTTCGGAAGAAACCAATGCAATGGCTGTGTGTATGTAAGAGTGAAAGCTGAATGGATGTGCAGGGGACGTTGACCCTCGAAATTTGCGGGGACCCCAAGTACGAGAAAGTCTCGGGAGGTTCGTCCACTGATGTTATTGGCTGTCGGCACAGGGGAAAGTATTCCAGTTCACGTGATACTTGGGATCTCATAATGAATCTCAAAGCATAACTTGGATCTTGTAGTTGCGTCTAGAGCTAAACTATATATAGAGACGCTTGCCACTTTACGCTTTACAGATTTCCCTTCTCAGAGAAGACAAAACGATGGTAAATATCCCCATTAGGCTAATAATACACCAACTACTGAAGTCAACAGACTGAGGTTCAAGTCGATGTCCTCATAGGCACAGACGGCAGAGATGTGCAGGTGACGAAAGTGGGCGTACTTCGAAAGGTAGGGCGGCGAGATAGATTGGGTACAACATCCAGCACCTCCGAGTACCTTGGGAGCAAAGGTTTGCATGAGCGTCTTTCTGCTCTTCTCGATATCAAAGTATTTGCGTATCACTGCGTCCAAGCCACCATCCATCTCTTCCGGTACCAATAAACAAATGGGTAAACAAATAGAAAATATATCAATGGCCGTAGTGTCAATGCCGCCTGATGGCAACAGCGCCTTATCATGATATTCCCAATCCTTTTCATTATCCAACTTACGCTCCTTTGCCCGTTCCCTAATGATGACCCTGCTTTTCCTCCGCTACCCCAGCGCTGTTTTCGCTTGTCCCATCTTATCCAAGGTAACGTGGTAAATTCTGCTCTTGCCGTATTCCAGATATCCAAGTAAAGCACTCTTCCGACACTCTCGACTGTGGAGAACTGATTCCCAACCACAACACACGCAGCAGATCATCCATATCTAACCCGAGCCGCTAGTTCCCCTTGGTAGTCCAAGCAGACTCGTTATGAACCTGCTGGCCTTTCTCCCCGTCCAGGGTCCACTGGTGCTTGCTTTCCAAGAGCTTGTCCCTCTGCGACTGGTCTTTCGGTCACACTAGACAGCACCTCGTCGCGGGGTCTGTCAAATGATCTCCCCCGAGGTGCCAAGTGCTCCTGGGCGAAAGCTGCTAGGCTGCTCCGGGAGGAGCCTTGCTCGTTCCTGGGAGGACTCTTTGCCCGATCCTTCTCAGCCAGCTTTTCGTCTCTGTTCTGTGACATCTTGGCTTTCCATTTCCCGAACAAGCCCTTCTTCTCTGTCTCGGCGTTGAGGTCCTTCTGCACATCATTTGATTCCTGGCTTGACTGACCCATAAGGGGCTGCTGCCCAATCGCGCTGGGATCAATATACGAGGATTGTGTCAGTTGAGAATCGCCAGTAAAGCTCTTCCTGGGTCGACTGGAACCGATCGAACTGTTGCTCCCTCTTGCCCCGGCGTTCTGGCCAACGGGTGGCGGCGGCGCGAGCGGCGACTGTTCTCCTTTCTTTGCTGCAGCGGAGAATCTCCATCGATGGCGACGCTTTTCCTTCTCTGGTTGCTGTACCGCATCGTCGACAACATCGGCATCTGAGGGATCGGTAAATGAGGAGCGAGAGTGCGTCGATCCTGGCGGAGATGTAGGAGGCTTCAACCCTGCCGCGTGATTTTGCACGGTGTTTGTAGTGGGTGGTGTCGAGAATTGCTTCGAGTTTGGAGTATCATTGACGGGCGTTGCGGCAGTATTCGTGAGAGCGGGACCTTGAGGCGCAGCTAGTGGATCGTGTCGCCCAATGCTATTAATATCAGGTGAAACCAGAGGCGTGTGGAAAGTGCCTGCGTCGTCGCCATGGAGTGAATTCAATGAGCTTTGAGCACTGTCATTGCTACTTCCAGGCAACTTTGGCTTCTTTTGCAATTTTCGCGGTTGCCTACCGTTGGGATCCGATGGACCAAATATGGGCGACTTTGGGAAAAGATTAGATATCTTCCGTTCTCGAGTCGTGAAGGGTGGTGCAGCTGCAGTCGCAGCCGCAGCCATTCCTTGTGCCTGGCCGGTCTGGCTCTGGTTTGGTATGCTCTGTACGCTTGGTGGTGGAGGTTGCACCTGTTGTTGCGGAAACTGAACAGGTGCCTGGGCGGCTTGTGCAGGAACCAACGGTCCTCTGCCATCAGCATCATCTGGTTGGATAGACCCAGATCTGGATGACTTTGACTCGGCAGTTTCCTGGTTCAGGGCTGAAGGGCCTGGATGCACGGAGTTCTGTCCCACTGGCTGAGCCGTCGAATCGGTATTCTCATTAGATCTCGGAAAGCGATTCGAGGTGATGGCTGGAGATCGTTTCGATGGCACAGTATTGCTCCGCGCGATTCCCGCAGCTCCCGCGAACGAAGTGACTCCAGATGGAGTCCCCGGGCTCGAGACCCCAGGGCTGCCTCATTCTCGGGAACCGCGCGACGACACGGATACGTTACGCCGAACTCCATATTTCCGGAGACTGTCAGCACCAGCACTGGCATTGGAGGCAGACCGTCCCACAGCCTTCGGAGACCGCAAGGACGGTGCACCGCTCTCAACGTCCTTCTGAGTCTTTTCGTCAACCGCGGTACCTGACATTCCAATGAGGAAATTATCCTGGTTTTCAATTAAGAAGATCAAGACCTCTTGACTGAGTCGATATTCTCCTGGCGCCATGTCGTGTGAAGGATGAGATATTATACCTGGCTGGAAGATGGCGGCAAGATTGGCGGCAGTCATGCGATTGAGGTCCGACTTGGACGCAAAGACTGCAAGTAGATCGAGAATGTAGAGGAGCAACTGGCGATTCAAAGGCGGTAGCTCCGTGATGAGCTTTTGATAGGCAGAAACGGCGGCGGCATGTTCAGCCATACTCATATCTCGAGATTGCATTTCACCATCCGGCCCTGTCGGAACCTGTACCAGACGGAGTGGTTCGCGAAACCGTTCGTAGAAATCGAGAGGAACAATGGGTTCCGGGAGCTGATTGAGGTAGCGGCGAAGGATGTTGGCAGCATCGTGGACAGTATAGCCAGTCCAATCTAGCCCCTTTCCGTACCTGTCAGGCGAGTTGAAAATGGTTTGTAAGTCTTTGATTCGTTTCGCGGACCCGCTCAGCCGGAAGATACCCTCGACATCGGTAGCTAAAGACCTGTCAGTTGTTTGTCTAGTGTTTGTCTCCCAGGTAAACCTCTACCTTTCTCTTTGAGGAAAACTCCACATTTCGCTACCACGATCGGGACGTAGCCATAGATGAAACTCTCACCATATTCGTTCTGCAGGGAGATGGCGACATTGGCGTATCTGATGCTCTCGGCCAAAGGAACGCCAAAGATACCAGTGGGAGCTTCAACTATTAGAAGGGTTAGCTAATCATCCGGTCGTGGGTGATAAAGAATCTTGGTAGATTTTGGCTGCCTCAACAGCTGCGTCTCTCAGATATATGGGATGATTTGTTTTGGCTTCTCTTACCCTTGTCATCCGTTGTTTTTTCTGTCGTCTTCCTGAATTTTTTCCACCAGGATGCTAGTTCTCGCTTTGACGGAGGAGACGCGGTGGTCAACGGTGCAGGCGCCGGAGGAGCACCACCACCGCCACCACCACGGGAGGGTTTTTGGGCAAAGGGACGTGGAGGGCTCGGAGTGCCTGCGCCTCCCGTTGCCATAATGCGGCTAGAGGCGCAGATGCGCTCTTCGCCACGGTTCGAAAGGAGGGAGATCAGTTGCTTATGATGCCTGACGTGCCGTTCACTTTGCTAGTAGCGGTTTCAGTCGAAATCACACTGTATCGCAGAGCGGCGCGACCTCCTTGAAAGACGCAGTCGGTCGCCTTTACGCGTTGTTTGACCAGTCCACGACAGACAAGAGAAGGGTGATCGTGGCACAGGCGGACAACAACGATGTGTGATAATGTCGGAAGAAGAACTGCTGTTTCTGAATGGGTTCAAGGGTTGGGTTGCGAGGACTATCAGCTGAAGCGAATGGCTGGCCAAGCGCGCAGCAAGGGCACCGATGCCGATCAAAGGAATTTCTGGGCGACCGACAAAAGCAGTCAGTCTGACTGCTGTTCTTCGATCGATGGTGAAGGAAGGATGCTGGAAAACGCTGAAGGTGAAAGTGCTGAGAAATCAGAATAAAAACGCGACCCTAAAGGTCCTGACAGGTTTGTCAGGGGGACGATGAGATGGGAGAGGGGGGTTTTACAATTCTTGTGTGAGATCAAGAGAGTGTTTGGGATGTGTTGGTAGACGGGCCTGGTGACTGCGATTCGAAGACCACACAGGTCGCAGCTGAGTAGAGTTTGGGCAAGAGCAGGTTCGGGTGGGCTTTTGCGGGTGTCTAGTTGATGTCTAGCGGGTGGATGGTCGGTGCCCACCTATTATTTGTTAGGGTGTCCAGGTGCTGCACCAACTACGGAGTAGTACTTGGGCGGAGCAGTCAGCGATGGCCTGGTTGTTTACTCGTAAGCGGCGGTGGCAGGAGGCAGGTGGCAGGTGGCAGGCAGGTGAGCACCTCAAAGCCACCATCTTCCTCCTCTACTAGTATTATTTGATTTGGACCCCTCAAATCACCCACCCGCAGTTAGCACAGTCAAGACATCAATTGCTTATTTCCCTCGGGCTTCCTTCTCAGACATTTGGCTGACCCATGTCGTTTGTGAATCTAGTGCTTTGTTGACATTGGGTTTACTTGCTTCCTTGGGGATGCGCACCGCACATTAGCTTGGTGCCTAGCGAAACTGTCGAGCTTTCCAGATTCTACGTCTCTACCACTATTGTCATCTGATAGATCTCCCGGAAGCTACGTGTCACCGCGGTGATCTGCACGGTGCGTCAAAGCCTCTTGCTTGCCACGCTTGCTTGACTATCGAACGCCTATATTTAAACCGCGGCTACCAGCGAATGGCGACGAAGCGGATCTTCTTGCCCCCGGCCGGTCGATCTGTTTCCTTAGTCTTGACCTCGTTGAGTGCTTGAGTTGCCCAATACCTACCCAGGTACGTGGCGAGCCGGCTTGGAATTTCGTGCCCAAGCGTCTGTTACACAACAGTCATGCATGCCAGAGGGAAAAAGCAGTCAGCCACAGCTCGAAGATGACGCTTGTCAAAATGGTTTTGAAACAACAGTGCTTCTACGAACTAGTACATGCGACGTGCAGCCTACTACTTCTCAAACCTGCGCACCGCCCCCAAACTTAGCCGAAGGCCCCCAATAATGAATCACTTGGAAGCACCGAGAGAGGATGGTCTGGGGGAATACGAGAACGTCGGTCGTGAAAGGGATCATTCATTCTTGGAGGCCTCAAACCAGGCCGCTCCCAATATGATAGTAGACAGTCGCAAAACACCGGCCTTGGCTAAGCCGAAACTCCTCCCTGCACAATCATCTAGGTGGGTATATTGAGTTAGGAAATGGGAAAATATCTGTTCAGGACAAGAACGCCAGCGTGGCACCGTGCGGTGTGGAGGGTGATCTGAAGCCTGCAGCCGCTACAGTTCCCGATCATCCTCGACAATCGCGTTGGCTAGCTGAGGTGCAGCGCCTCCTATCGTCAGATCTTTGAGCGCCTTGTCGAATTCTCGGCTCATCCCATGCTTGACTGCTTCCAAGACGTTGTCCACCGTCATCTTAGGCATATACGTGGGCCGAGTCCCTTCTCTAAAGACACCCGTACGGACCAGGATGGAGTACCAGTTCGCCTCGGACTCGCCTGATTCGTCAAATTCGTTGGTGCCTCGAATGTCCGACTCGGGGGTGTCGCCAACAAAATAGACCGTCTCCGGAGGTCGATCGATCCCGTGAGTATCTTTCCGCCACTGCCGCAGAAGCCTTGTGGCGAACTGGAATGTGCCGACTTGAGGTTTGCCGAATGCGATGGTCTTCAGCTCTTTGCCTGTGATTGCTTTGAACATAGCTTCGAGAGATGCCCGTAATGCTCCCATGCCGATGCGCGAGTAGGCATGAGAGGTTGCCCAGACCACATCATTGTGGGAGAAAAAGACCGGTGGGCCTTCGTCGAAGGTCTCTGACCTGGTACCTAGACGACCATTCTTGCTCATGCAAAGGTCGAGGATGATTTGGGAATCCCCAGCCCAGTCTCTACTATCGGCAAACACGAAGACGGCTTCGATCTCGATTTCGCCATAGTTTCGGACGTTGGAATTTCGGTGCTCTTCGTCGGTCAATTTTCTGAAGGGCGTGGTGTCTGCGTTATCTTTGATAATGTCGCCAGGCGTGATGACATCTTTGAAGCCGTAGCCCTTGGCCACGTCACGGCATTTCTCACCTTCGCCACCGACGACGAGGACCGTGTGATACTTCTCGGCCATTTCCCTCATTGGAGTGTGTCCGCAGATGAACTGGCCGGGTGACACCTCCATTTGGAGCTGGTTGCTGAGCTGGATGCATCGTTCCTCTTCGGTCTTTCCGCCACCATTGGTGACGAAGATGTAAGGACTGTATCATAGAGTTAGTGTGCCAATATCCCAATAGGTTCAAATGCTAGAGCCACGTACACTTTGATGCCATACTCGTTTTGCCCATTGAGGACTTTCATGGCTTCAACAGCCTCTGGGATGACCTTGCCACCTTTGATGAGAACTCCGTCTATATCGAAAGCGAAGGCATACTTGTCGGTTGTGCTCAGGCCGCTGTCGTCGGGAGTAGTGGGCCCCGATTCAGGGGGGGTGATGGTTGGTGATGATTCGGCCAGATGATGCTTTGCCATTTCCATGGCACGGGCGGTCTCGTTGGCATGGCTGTGAGTGTCCATATGTTGTGGCGGTACAACAACGGTAGGCCCTCCAAAGAGATCCGCCCTTTGGGCACTTTGACTGGATAACCTGCGCATGGTACGCTGAGATGCTTTGCTGGAGGTGGGATAGAGTGTGTTGTTGTCCACATCCGCGGACGGACCTTCGGTCGACATGATGGTAACCTGTTGGTTTCTTCCCCGTCTCTAGGTAGCACGATCGTCTAGATATTGCCTTCCCAAATTACCAAGGCAAGTCTCGGTCATTTATTGCTGGCTTGGAGTATATGGAGTTGGTCTCAGGGGGACTTCCATACTCCGGGGAGAAAGAGGGGGTTGCCTCTTATATACCAGACTTCAACCCGTCAAGGCTACTTCAGGGAGAGAGACCCTCAAGGCAAATCGGAAACACACGTGGGACCCAAAAAGTGGAAAGATATCAGGCACTTGCAACCAAAAACAGTGGATATCACGAAAACTGGACAAGGCGGTCGTTTCGGTGAAAGGATGGAGCAACACTTATTCGACCAGTCCATCGTAGCCACAGCACGAGAGAGTACGATGGGGAATGGGAATAGGAATGACGTCGCTGTGGTAGGATTCGGTCCTGGTGGGCGGATACGAGACCTGATCGTCAGATCCCACCAGAGACGGTCCATCGAAACTTCAGAGAGAGAGACCCCTGTTGCGTGCTTGAAGGGGTAGGGGTGGTTTGAAAAGCCGCAGCCATGGGCGGTCTCTGGTACATCACTGGTGTAGGGAAGATGACAGAGAGCCACCCACGGTTGGATATCGCCGAGACGTCGAGTTACAGATTTTTTTTTCTCTCTGTAGTGGTCCACATGTCTTTTGTTTGCCAAATGCGCGTTAAGTAACGAATCGGTTGCTGGCCGTCTCCAATTTTCAGCCTTCTCTCTTGACATTTGTTTGGAGCTTTCATTTTTAGGAGGCGACGATCATCCAACGCCACTGCTGTCATCACTCTCCATCGTCAACCAAAATCAACCTGTGTCCCGGCTTTCCCTAGTCAGGAGGATTCGGCTCGGAGACCTTACCATATGGCCTTCCCATTCGTTCTTTCGCTACGCTTTAAGCTTGCCTGCGGAGCCTCGCGAGGAGGGTTCAAAGCCTCGAGGGGAGGGGCGGAGATACATTGTTGCCATTCACATGTGCCGAGTTTGATACGTCCAGGAAAAGGGAGTTGTCAGAGCATAGCCGCCATTATCCCAATCAAGACACCGACTTCTAGGTGTGGGATTTTGCAGGCATCCCGCTCCTCATCCTGCTGGCTTTCGATTGTCCACCCATTCCCAGTGACAAAAGAGGGGCAAGAGACGGGACACTGGCGTGATAGTACATACAAAGGTCGAATCAACTGCGGCTGGAGCTGTGGTCCTTGCATAACAAGGCGCATAAACGAGGCGTGTCCATGAAGATAATGATTCTCGCTCTAACCCACCCAGGTCCTCAAGATAACCCACCAAAATGCTAGAATATGTGTGCCCGAGTGACGAGATCAACGCTGTACATGACACCGACTGCTTCACTAGCCATCCCACAACCCCCAAAAGACCACATGCCATCAAAAAAGAGGGGGACTTACCCCATGGTGGTCGGTGTAGAAAAAGGTCCGCATGGGGACAACGAGAACTGAACAAACAACAAACAACAAAACCTAGATGTGGAACTCGTTGTCCAACCAGTGTTTGACCACCAATTTTCCCTCTTCAAATGCTGGTTTCGGGACACGCACAATGATCGCCGCATGGCTGTGGGTGCTTTTGTGGATATATACAGGAAATTTCCGGAATCCCACATCGTCCAGCGCCTTGATCATGGCAAATTGGGCTGCGGTCAGGGCCAAGGTCGGGACGCTGGAAGACCTTTCAGCTTGCAAAAGCTCATCGTTGTCCGA